TTTATCGGCTCTATGCGTTTTTTTACTTGAAAATAGTAAAAAAACATTCTTGTACTTCGGAAGTTTTCCAGATAATCTTTTCAAAAACCAAAGTGTTGTTGTTGACTTTTGAAACTTTTATTGAGCTGCATTATATCGATCATGTAAAATATAGTCGATGTTGATATTCTGACGTAATTTGGACGGATGTTGACTGAGTTATGAATTTTTTAATTTTACTCAAAAATGGGTTATGTCACCTAATATAGATTTTCACTAAGTTTTCGAAAGAATTTTGAAAAACAAATGTTGTCACGAGATTCAGCGTGGTCGATCACCCATGTTTGCATCCGTTGTCGTAATTATCACATCTAAATAAATAGTGATCCTGGGACTCTCAGGAAATCCGATGCCACGCCTAAACCACGAAAAACTAAGAGTTCACCTAGCTTCTGTTTTGGAAAAGACACGCTGGAAACCGCAACGTTCTATCTTACGCATTAGTCAGTTATTAAAAAACGGTAACCTGCACTCAATTTTGGCGCAAATAATAGTATTCCCGTGTTTTAGAAACTTTACCAATGTGGCATTATTGTCTAGCATTCTCAAACAACTTATTAATAAAGAGATTAGCAGTTCGATTAAATAATTCGTGAGTGTTGGGTCACTTTTTGTTGAGTGAAATATTACTTTTCATATATTTTTTAGAAAATATACAAACCTTTATCAGTAACAAGTTACAAAAAAACATAAAAAGAAAATAAACAGAATTTTTTTTGTTATTCTATGGGCGATTTTTATATTTTTTCTTATCTTTTGTTAATAAATTAACAACATTCTTTTTCCTTATCCATTTTAATATGTATGGAAGGCTACTTCCCTCTTCTCTATGGTCAAAGTACATATATTTATCATATTATATGTACAGTAAAAGACAGAAAACAAGAATTATAATTTTTAGTTGGAACGGATAATATATCGGATTAAGTATTTCAGTAATTGAAGCATCGCCGATGAATGTTGGGATTCAAAGTTTGCCTTCTAGTCTGTTCACTCATTTTTCTTTCAAAATACTGTTAAGCAACATTGACACATATATACATATCTAAAGCTAAGTCATCTACCTGGATGGCATCATTTACAATGATCATGATATATTTCTTTTGAACTCACATGGTTTTCAGCATGTGTATTCATGTTCTGTTTTCATTCAATAAGTTTATGTCAGTAAGAGTTTTGACGATACATACTTTTATTGATTGACACTCGCCAATTTGATCGCTTCACTGTATGGTGGAGGTTGATCTGGATTAAATGATGGTAATGTTGACTGCGGATAAGATGGAGGATAAGATCCATAGGGAAACGTGTTGACCAATTGACCTGTCTGATGTACATACACCATTGGTGATGGATAGCAGGTTCGTTGGGACTGTGTATTTTTCAGAATACAAATTCGTAAAGATATACATAAGGCAACGATAATAATAATTCCTCCTGTAACACCAAGTGTCCAACCAATGACAGTAGAATTTTCCTCTTGGGCTTTGGTTAAACTAAATTTTTCAATTATCATAATTAATAACAATAATATATGCATCGTTGATGAAGTGAATAAAAGATTGTTTTCAATATAAATAAGTGCAAACTTGTTTTTCTCTCTGTTGTTTAGATTTTCTACTACTATACTGAACACACGCGCCCAACATGATGTAAAAAAGTATAGGGGACGATTAAAATGAATTTTACAATATACAGTGAGTCAAAGAAAAGAAAAGAAAAGAATAAGTTACTTTGGTGACTGTTAGTTTTAGTGCATCAATAATAAAAGAAACAAATAATCATATACCGTCATATAATCGTTTAAAAGAGTAGCTTCAATATTTCGAACATCAGAACTTATACTACAAGAAAATTAATTGTAGTTTCAAATGGCCTATAGATATTTCATTTATTCGACAAAAAAGTCTTTTTTTTTAAAGTTTTTACCAATGTTTGCAAAGCGAATTTAATCCAAAATCACGGCTCATCCGCCAGTTGATCGCAACTCACCGTCACTACTTTACACTAATGCCATTCAACCACACTATTCTGGAAAAGCGGGTTCTGATAATTTGGTTTAGAGTCACCATGAATTTATAAAAACAAGATGGTTTGTTGAAAAGCTCCAGATTTTTTTCGTGATATGTTGACGTATAACCTTCGACTGAGTCTTGGTAGAAAACCTTTTAGATAGTGTTAATGACAGTTAAACGCAAGAATCTTGAGAGAATGCAAAATGTATCCAAATCTTCTTTGATAATATCTTCAAGATATTCAATTAAACTATTTCTAAATTTTTCATCTTGAGAGTGTTCGGTTTATTGATAATACAAAATAAACCAGTTCAAAAAGGCTGCTAGCCTAAGTCTTACGCGAAACAGAATATCTTAAAAATAGAAAGATTACATCGAATATTCTAAGTATCACTCTAGTTCTTAGCTACATTACAATAAAGTGCTAATGGCAAATTGAGTTCATTTTTTAGCGCCATTGTCTCTGTATATAAATTGAATATTCTCTCGTTTTCATTTGTTACCCATGGGAAAATTTTGTTGAAGTTTCATAACATTGGAGTCGTACAATTGCAACATCAAAAGCATGGTCGCGTGTGATTTTGCTATAATTTTACAAGCGTTCACAAGTGAGAATTTCTTTTCACATGTGTCTACATACCATCTTACGACTTTTACTAGTGATCACGTGCGAAAAGTATGACACAAAAAGTTTCTGTGAACAATTTACGCGTTATCATAAGTGGAATATATTTTTCACGTGTGCTCACACACCATTTTACGATGTTCACATGCGACCATAGATCATTTCACGATGTTCACGAGTGTACACGTCATTTTAGATACTAGAATTTCTTCATGGGTATAGCTTTGTTGACACAGTTTTTTTAAGTTCTTTTGCTATATTCAAAGAATGTTTCACATTTTGATTATTAACGTACGTATTTATTCGATGTATAAGGCGGTTCTCGCAGTATTGTTCTTAAAGTTGTTGTTTTTTTATTTGAACTTCATTCCAGTATTTTTCATTTTTTATTTTCTTTATATTATTTACCTTTCAATTTTTCAGTATTTTCTACAATACTGATCGACATCCATTCTACTATTCATTAACAGATACACACTAACCAAAAACAGATTTTACGAAAATCATTTAAATTTTCTATGCGACGCTTCATGACTGAGACCACTTTTTTTTAACAACATTAACTATTAACAATTTATCCTGATATTAATTGTTTTTCGATCAATGAAACTAAACTCAGTGAAAAAATCATCTCCTTCTCCATGCCGGGATTCAACATCTTTCGATACGATCGAGATATCAGAGGTGGAGTACTATTAACAGTCAAAAATTCTCATCAAACAAACATGCTCTACAGTGGAACTAATGAAAATTCTGAAATCATGATTATTGAAGTAAATCTGAAAAATACTTAAAAAATAATAATTACAGGCATCTACACACCACTAAAAGTGAAACTGACAACAAAAGCTACCGATAAAATAGTAAGATTTTACCATTGTTATCTGATACTGGGAGACTTGAACGCAAAGAATATACACCTAGGCTGCAAAAGTACTAACAAAGACGATAAAATAGTACAACAGTGGCGAATAGAAAACAGCGTTGAGATAATTGGTAACAATCACCCAACATCTGAAAAAGATAATTATCAAGAAAACATAGATTGGATGCTATCCGATGCAAAAACGTATCTGAATAGTGATTATTATCGAACGCATCCAAGTGCGACAAAAGTAGTCGACAATCAGTGACATTCGAGCTGTCTGTCAGCGTAGATGTCAGGCTCTTTGAATGTATTCGTCAACAATACATTTATGGTCAAGCTAACTGGAATATATTCTCGATTGAATTCAACAGACTGCTAAAACAATGAGAACCAAAAAAGGCTGACAGTGGAAAGGAACTTATTGAATATAATCAATTCATTACAGACTCATCGTATCAGCAACAGGTTTAGCGGTGCCTTTGAAAAGCTGTACGATCCTAAACCAAATCATTCTACTGAACATTTTGATATCAAACGTGAAGTGGAGAAGGCAGTTTTAACAAATTAAAAAAGATTAAGAATTTTGAACATCCTGAAATCACGGAAAACGAGTTTAAATTGTTAATTCCCAAATTAGGAAATACAGCTGTTGTACATGATGGCATACACAATAAATGTTTAAAAAGGTGTACTAGTGTTCAAATCCACCACCTTTTAGCTCTTTTCAAAAGCAGTTTCACAATTGGATTTATCCCATCACAATGGAAACTAGCACATCATTCTCATGCAAAAACCTGACAAAGATCTACAAGAGCTTGCTTCTTACCATCCTCTTAGCTTGCTGAGTTATCTGCACAAGGTGATTGAGCGTATAGTTAAGAATAGGCTGAATAATCATGCAGAACATCATCAACCAACTCATTCAGTTGTTTATTCTTGAAAAATAACTATTAGGTTCCTGGCTAAACTAAGATCTTTCTTACCTAACATTTATTACAAATAAAAAAGATTACTCTTAACAATAAAATTGTTCTATTTATATACGAAATATTGCGCGATAACCTTGAATATATTCTTGCGCAATAACCTTCTCCCTTATGTCACGACTCTAGTACGAGGTATAACAATAACTCAAAATAAAATTTTGACTTTTTCAACATTTCGGGCAGAAATATTTTTTCAATTAAATTCGTTTTTCAAGTGAAAAATGTAAATTTATTAAACGGACACGAAAATAAATGAGCCCGGAAAAAAGAGAGAATTGATCCCGATTGCTTTAATTAACAAAAAAGAGGGAAATGAGCCCGGTTCAAAAAAGAAAAAAATTATCTTCACAAAAGCGAGAAATGAGCCCAATAATTTAAATTTGTTAAATATATAAAAAATGATCAGTTTCAGAGCATCCTTTTAAAATCAATCTTAGAAGCGCGTATATATAGTCGTGATTTAAATTAAACATCAGTATGTAGTACGTATATAACATTATCAATTCAACAAAAAAAATATCACGCAATTTAATAAATACAAAATAATAACAATCAATGCTTTTCTTAATCTTTTGTTAAAGCTGCTTTTACTTTTTTTGGTCTACCTTTTCCTTTTCTTTGATCAATTATTTGTGGAACAGTTTTAAAACGTATGTAGTACGTATATAACATTATCAATTCAACAAAAAAAATATCACGCAATTTAATAAATACAAAATAATAACAATGCTTTTCTTAATCTTTTGTTAAAGCTGCTTTTACTTTTTTTGATCTACCTTTTCCTTTTCTTCGATCAATTATTTGTGGAATAGTTTTAAAACCCCATATAATCATTAAACCGATTGTATGAACACATGAATATTCCTTTTGACCAAAACGACATGTACAATACCAAGGAGCCGTTATAAGTGAAAAATGGACTAAATGCTCTGAATTAAACCAACTAATATATTCATCATATGAATTCCATGACATTGTATAATACTGTTGAAGCCATACATTTGTATTCATTGTTAAATTTGTAGTTGGTATTACATAACCGGTATTACTTAATCGAATAATTTGACTTTGATCAATCTTCTGTGACCATTGATGTGCCTTTGATTCCAAATCAGCTTCAAAGTTAATTGTATGAGCAGATCCATCTGTAGCATTCTTTGTTGACCAATCACCTAACATACGTTCTACTGTCTGTAGAAATGTGGCCAACGATTCTGTAGAATTTCTCTCTCAAAAATAGTTATAACTATACAAAACTTACCATCTAATTGTTTGGCTTTCAATTGATAACGACATTGTGAATATTTTCTATCCTCTGAACACTTATATGTTATAGATACACCACTTGTAAGTTCTTCAGTACGATGTGTAAAAACATTTTTTTCTCGAAAAACTTTTAGATCGTTTTCAGTAGTACATGTAGAACATTTATGCCATAATCTTCGAGACATAGCTTGTAGAAAAGAATTCTATTAAATAAATTATTAATGATATTTTAATTAATAATTTTTATTTATCTTCCCATTTTTTATTCCCAATTTATATATATATTCGATGTGTATATAAGATGTGTATATATGCGCGCTTTCTGAGATTGATTTTAAAAGGATGCTGTTGAATTGATAATGTTATATATGTACTACATATTAATGTTTAATTTTTAATCACGATTATATATATGCGCTTCTAAGGTTGATTTTAAAAGGATGCTTTGAAACTGATTATTTTCTTATGTATTTAACAAATCCAAATTACCGGGCTCATTTCTCTCTTTTGAGAAAATAAATTTTTTCTTTTTTGAACCGGGCTCATTTCCATCTTTTTTTTGTTAATTAAAGCAAGCGGGATCAATTCTCTATTTTTTCCGGGCTCAAACCTTATTTTATCCCATACGATTTCCATTCACAATATCTTCCTTTTCATCTCTTATTTTGTTAGATTTGTTATAACCATCATATACCGCCATTAATTATACAAAAAATATATATATTTACCTTGATAAATTATTAAAAATGCCAGTAAGTTTCCTATTTGATTTAAAAAGCATATGTACGTACTAATGTGCAGTTATATTAGAAGAAAGCAACAAACAGACGATATTACAAAATACGTCCGTTCACAACTTTGAAAAGAGAGGAATGAATGAATGATGGGCTCGAAATCGATACCCCTCGAAAGCTTATATCGGGGATCCGAATACGTCATTTTTCGAGGGCTCGAAGTACCTCTTGAACGACTGACTGGGTACACACTAAGATGAATTGAGGAAAGGATTATATCCTCACTTCAATTTGTTCGAAACTATAACGGAGTATATTTCTTGTCTAATTCTTTTCTTTACTTCATTTCATTTTTTCGAAATATTATTTTTGTATTGTTGTATATGTCGCTCGGACACAAACTTTTCTTCCACAGATTTTACCGTGAAGCATCTATTAGGAAATATATTTCATTCTAGCAAATTTACTTTGTCTCACTTTAGTTGCTAATGTAGTCTTACTATTGTATCCTTCTTGCTCACCGCACATTCAACCGCTGAAACACTTGATTTTGTTCTTGAAATTATTGTATTTACTTATATGTCTCTTACAAATTGATTTAACGTATTACTGTCACAACTAATAATGTTAAAAACATATCGGATATTATTTTATTCTTTCTATATGCATCCATTCTCATGTTGGTGTTTAAAAAACGAAATGAAACATCTCTCTACAATATTTACAGCATACATCAATTATTTCCTTGTTTTAAGAAAAAAGCGAGCTAGTGAGGTGGATGTTGTTATAATAAGTAAAAAATAATTGCTAAACAAACATCCACCTCACAAATTACTTTATTTTTAACTTTAATGCATGCATGTGTCATTTTTGAAAAGAGAAGAAATGATTGTCTTGGAAAATATAAGTCAGAATTAGGTATGCCTAACTACAGATTTCTTCTGTTTGCTATGTTTTAATAGAAAAAGGTAAAAAGCACTAAAATAATAGTAATAATGCAACTACAAACAGCACTTGATTTTTTATTGAGATATATATTGACGATCAGATCGTGATAAATGAATAATGTCACTGTCATGTGTATTGTGCTTTAAATATATAGGGTGTCCGTAAAGTCCTTAGAGTTAGAAAATGTTCAATGTTTTCGTCATTCTTTACCCAAATCAACGGATTTTTTTTCTGAGTATAGTAAGCGGATACGATGTCACATGGAGATCCATGTGCCTTTTTCCTGTGGGGATATTTGAAAGACACGGTGTTTAAACAGCCACTTACTTCCATTCAAGAACTTAAACAAAGAATCGAAGAAGCTTGTGAACAGATACGAGAAGAAATGTGTCGCAAAGTATGTCGTTCTGTTCAACAGCGCCTTCATGTCTGTATGAATAATGGAGGACAATTTGTCTCAAACTAGGCTTACATATCAGTTACATTTCTGATTAAATAAATAAAAGAATATACTATAGCATCAGCATATAACTATGAGAAAAAACCTCGTTGTAAAGATTACTTATAGCGTTAAAAAAATCGTTTGTTTTATGTTCATAAAGTTTTGTGATGAATAGACACTTCTATCCGCTTACTATACTCAGAAAAGAAATCAGCTCATTTGGGTAAAGAATGATGAAAACATTGAACATTTTCTAACTCTAAGGACTTTACGGTCACCCTATATATCACATATGTATGTTGAGGACTTTGATAACGTGTACTTTTTCAAATTCTATTTCCAATGTGTTATGCACACTTCAGGAATATATACTTCGAAAAGAAAATTTTTAAATCTTTTTTGAAAATAGAGGATGTAGAAATATTTGATTTTATAAATTACTTCAATTCAAAACAGTCAGCGTATGACGGGTAATTGAAGAATGTAAGGATATACTTGATAATCTCGAAAACGTGAAATGAAGGATCACTCTAAATTAACTCAGATATGAGCATATTTCGTCTTAATTTTAGTTCCTTTGCTTTTCACAATGTTAGCCATCAACTTTAACAGCATGTATAGTGCGTGCATTTGTATAGGTAAAATTCTGTTCTTAACTGGGCTGTGTTAGAATTAAGAGATTCACTTGGAAAATCTAAGGTCAAATTCCAATTTGGTCTGAATTCTAATCTGGACTCTGACATATGTTGAAAATCATTTTTTTCTTCAGATGTATATGATTTTTACCCTTGCTTTTGTCTTTTCTGTTCTACTTTTTTCTGTCAAATAGTGATTTTCACGTTTGGTGAGAAACGTTATTATAGAAACATATTCATCATAACTTGTCAGATTGATTAAAACATTCGCCAGGCACGTTTTATATCATTGTAAGCCCTTCGATTACTTTCCAGAAAAAAACAAAGTTTCTTCTACTATTTGTCTACGCCAATTTGGTTCAAATGCTAGTTTCTTTAATGCTTGAGAAAGAAAATTCTCATTTGTTGTGTTCTACTGTCTCCGTCATTTTAATAAGTGGCCTGTGTCTGAAAAATGCCATGAAAAAACTTTTTATTTCCTACGATATATAAAATTAAAAAAACTATCTTTTTTAAAATAATTCTAACTATATAACTATTTTTTTTAATTTTTATCGTATATATTACTACGTTTATTGTATGATTTATTTTAGATTTGAGCAAAAGGTGTGTTTCCGTTTAAGTCGATGGGATGGAAACAAGGGGACACAATAAACGAGAATTCTCATTCTCGAACATTGGTCGAAACAAAAGATAAAGAGCATTTATTCTAAAATCCGTAACTCTTCAAAGGATCATCGCCTAGAGCTCATAAAGATCTTATTTTGTGCAGAATTTTCTCTTCTATTGACGTGTATTGTTTACAAAGCTATTGCCTACATGGGATTTTCTAGAAAATCAAGTCTTTAGTTTCAACCATAAAGAACCACTTGACAAAATGTTTTGATGATGTTTACAGTTATGTCATTATCATCAAGGTCTGCACGAAACTGTCATGCACAATTACAATGATATTGCGCCAAGCTATTGCTTCGGCCAAGAAATATGAAACTAATCTTTCTACTTCTTGTATAAATCGTCCGTGTGCTTCTTCGATTGATCATTGTATTTGTAATCGAGTTCACGCCATATAATAAGTACTGTGATGTGTATCTTGAGAGTAATCGCTAAAAGAAAGCTCGTTTTAATCAACAAATTTTAAAAATTCAAGTGTAATTCCAAATATTTTCAATTTGATCTGTTCTAAAACTCTATGGAAAAAAAAACCTGCTTATTTAAATTATCTGACATTGGCCCCCACTTCAGGTAACTTGTATTGGAAAGACGCTCAATTTTCACATTTTCTCACATCGATAGACTAATGTTAAAAGGAATACTAAAGAATTAATAAAATCACTTTTTCCATCTTATGTAAATATTAGATCGTTCAATATTTTTCTTTATTTTAAAATATTTAAATGTTTTTCTTTCTTACAAAAAGAAAAATATTTATTAGTTCAGATAGAAAAATTTTTAACATTTTTCGACATACTCATTTTCTTAAGTATATTATATTTTGCGTTCATATAGTATGTGATCTTATCTTGCTTTACTGACTAGAAAAAAAATAATTTTTTTATTTTCTACATGTTAACTTTTTATTCATCATACTGTGGTTGATTATTGGTTTTATGAATAAATTTTTTCTTTCTGACTAACTTCAATCGTTTTTTTTCTTTTTATAATGAAGAAAAGGAAATTAGAAATAAAAGTTCTCACTATTAATGATATAGAAGAAACCATATTAAAAAAGTAAGTGCACTATAGCCATCAAGTTATCCACAACTGAATAATAATTTCGTTTCTGTAATCGTTTTATCTGAATAAAAGGTTTGCTTTTTTTTTCTCGTCTCATATGACAAGATACCAGCAACAAATTTCCAGATTTTCACATTTAAGGTAATGAATAACCTAATTCATATCATTCGAAATGAATTATGTTGAATATAGTGTGTGAGTAAAACTGTTGCATTTATTTTCAATTAAAACTTGCGCATACTTTACGTCTATTTATTAGTAAAAAGTAGAAAGAAAACCATTTTAATGGGTACCCATTTTAAAGAGTTAGCAAACAATCAAAGTAGGACGAAAGGAGAATTGAATCAGTAGCAATCGTACTCACTATTGAATAGGTAAGAACAAAAGGATCTGCCTACTAAGCAAAATACAATTAACATTTTTAAATTCTTTTAATAATTTCTAAATATTCGTGTACGTCGTATTTGCATTTTAATTTCAGGCTTGTAATCATTAACAGATCACTTATATCTAATTCTTGTTTTTGTGTATGTTTTTTCACTCGGTGAATATAGTAGATCCAAGTTAGAATCAACACAAATATTTGTAATCCATACCCGATCCATGTTATTTGTAATGTTTTTTGTGTTTCTGTTTGTATCATTGACCAACATGTTTGACGATATTCATGAATAGTTAACGGACCACAAACGTTTGGATATTGTTTACTGAAAAATTTGCTCTTCTCATAGATGCTAAATATCCCACAGCATTCGTTAATGTCAATAAAACATCTGAAGGTGAGGGTGAGGGTCAGATATTCGGGTCTCAATATCTCAAGGCAGGAAAATTCATTAGGATCGAATTTTTTCCCGTCGTACTACTATGACTATGGGCTTCCAGTGTGGCAAGTTTCAAGTCAAAATTCGGATTTTGCTCGAAATCCAAGCTCTATAGGCAAAAACTGACTAAAAATTCAATATCTCAGCAACAAAGCACCATGGGGATGAACCAACTTAGGGTATTTCA